CTTTCTCTGTGTAATATGGACTTTCTTTTGAGGCAGCACTGCTCTTGCATTGGCCAATAAATTCGCATTAACATTAAGTTGCATAAATACATCATACGAAAATCTCTTGGAATTTATTGCAAGTGTTTTAAATAAATTTTAGAGCGTCACTTCATAAATAACTCCACTCTCTCTGTCTGGCGTTATTTAGCTCCAAGACGAGACTATTAAAATTTAATGTCCAAAACAGGGCATTTATTGAAACGAAATTGCTTGCTTCCTTTCCTGCTCTTCCTATAACCAAGCCAAGCCAAGCATAAATCATCTGGTCAGCTTCAATACAGGACAGGACAAAAGAGGACAGGACAGGACACTAAACAGAAAAATGAAAAAAAAAATCAGAAACCGGACACATTACACGCTCACTTGCTTAGATAATTGCTGGTGGGCAGAACTGGCAGGGGAACTAGAAGAAATGCTTTAATTTAAATAGCCAAATCCACAACCGAAAGACATTCCATTACAGCCACAACGCTCGCGATAATTCTCAATAATTAAAAGCATTCAAGTTTAAGAAATCCTTTTAACTGACTTAACAGAGAAGAGGGGTGTGGCTGTGGGTCTGGTCTCGGGGCAAAAATTGAGTTTTTCTCCTAGTTAATAAATCATAAATTGCCCTGGCCACGCCATGGCTATGTCTCGTGTTCTGGCTCTGGATGGCTGGCTCTGCCTTCCTGCTGATCGAAAAAGTTAAATGAACTTAAAGTTTCGTGTTGTTCGTGTTCTTTGTGTTTTAAGCGGCTTAGCTGGGCGCTTTGACTGTGCTACTTGTGCTACCCGAAACTTGTTCGGCTTTACATATTGATGCGGCATTAGGTGGCAAAAGTTGTGGATCTGTTGTAGCAACAAGTCCCGCTGTCGCAACTATGGATGAAGAGCTGTGGCAGGGCGATAAATTCTGACTCGCACACGCACTGTATGCCGCCTTAAGGCAGGCTGCACATTGACATTCAGATGGCATCCGCATCCGCCACAGATACAGATGGGCGGCCAAAGATACAGAGTGAGATATTGATAGAGGGGGTGGGATGTGGATGTGGCTGTGGGAATGGCACTTTTATACCAGCCATAAAATTGCCGCCTGCATATCGGTTTCGCTCTGTTTGGCCATTAGCTTTTGTTTTATTTTATTATGCCTGGCACTTGCCTCGCTTCTGTGTCACTGCCATTTTGGCCATTTTCGCCACTGCTTTGTGTACTCGACATTGTTATTTTTGTTGTTGCACTAAATCAAAGTGTCGTTTGGCTGCGGCATGCAAAGGCGAGGCAAGCAAATCAAACATTCTGCCACCCCCTCTGCCAAAAACCAAAGGATAGAGAAAGTTTATTGGCATTCCCAATTTTTATGGCCTCATTTTGGCCTCTTGCATAACAATTAGCCAGACTGATTCGGTGCGATTCGATTTCGTTTAATTTAATTCGCTCGTGCAGGGGCTGTAGCTTTTTGTTCGCTTACTACGGAAAACGTTTGAATGAAAATAATCAGAGCCAAACGAGGACACAAATGAGAGGGAGAAACTATCCCTGTACAATAGCGAACTGCGAGAGCCCTGATTAAAAATATTTGAACCAAGCTAAATACGATTATCCCAGAAATAAATATTGGCCGGGTTAAGGTTTTTACTCGTACACAGCGTTGATCGGGACCGGGATATGCTCAGCCAACTTCATCGCTTTGTGAAGCTTTCTTACTATGGCGAATGTTTTCTACAGCGCAATTCGTAACCAAATATTTACCTCTCACTCGCACTGAGCAACATCATGGACCACATACGACGAGAGCCTCTCTCATCGTCGCGCTTCTATGATCCTCTCTGAGCGAGTCTATTTCAGTACTCATAACGGAGCAGCGAAGTAACGGAGACAAGACACATAAGAAAAGAGTATACACAGCCCTCAGAATATCATACACTGAGACAAAATCTCGTAGTCAATTCGTTCGCAGCTACATGAAAGTACTCTTGGGATCCAGCATACATATATGTACATACATATGTATGTATGTAAGATATTACTGCATAAATTGTGTGCTAAAAACAACAGCATAGCGAGTATTTTTTTATCTTCCATAGTTTACCAATACTCAATGGGCAGACCCAGACACAGACCTCGCCATATGCACAGCTTAACTCCCTTATCCGAGGTATATGTGCATATGTATATCAAAACAAAAACAGGAATACTTGTGCAAATATCAAATAAACGACAGCGCAGTGAACCGCGAGAGCTGGAAATTTTGCAAAAGTACACAAAGAAAATTGGAATAACAATTTGGTGCAGACGAAAAAAAAACGGATAAAAAATCTGTTGCAAAATAAAATAGAAATATTTAACGGAAAAACAGTCAAATTTGCGGGGATTTTTGTGCTTTTTAGCGGTTCTTTTTTTGGCCCGTTGCACGGCATTTGCATAGAAAGATTCAAATTAAGCGAAAATGTGCAAAACGCTGTGAATGGAGCCCCCCGCCACCCCATATCTATCTCACTTGCTTTATCTGTCTGTCTCCTGCCTCTTTTTGAGGCCATCTCTCGTCTCCCCAGCCATATTTGGCTCTGGCTGGTGCAACAAATGAAATGGTCAAATAAAAGCAGGACAAAGAACTCGCCAGCTGAAAATGAGCAGCCAAAGCAGTTGACAGAGATAACAAAGAGAAAGAGACGAACAGACACGACCAGACCGAGAGAGAGAGACTGAGTCAGGCGGGGAGAGTGGGGTGATGGAGAGTGCAATCGAGTGCTTAAAGTGTTCGTCTAATGACAAAGCAAATTGTGTGTATTTGCACAAGAAGAACAACAACAACAAAAACAGAAGCAGCAGCAGCAACAACGACGACTGGCTGAACAACAGTCAAACAAACAATCATCCAGGCGCAATCATTGGAAAAGTTTTAAAGTTTTCTGCAATTTCCCTGAGCCATGAGCTGCCGTTGCAATTGAATTAATCATGGGATATTCCCCTGCTCCCTGCTCCCTGCTCCCAGCCAGCCCAACCACAAGTGGAAGCATCTCAACCGGAACTTAACTTTTCAGCAGTCTATCCTACTTTCTCTCCGCTCCAAGCATCTTGCAGTTTTTTCGCTCTCTCTCTCTCCCCCCCAGTGGATGTTCCTGGCGGTCTTGCTCCCCCTCTGAGCTCCTTTCATTCGGAGGCATGCAACAATAGCAATCAACTACGGTTAATTGTTGTTGTTGTTTCTGTTGATTAATTAAGACGTAGTCGACAGTTGGCTCGACTGCTCCTCTTTCACTCTTACCCTGACCATCTCTCTCACTCTTTCTCTTCCTCTGTTTATTTCATTTGCATCTCTGGCCTTTCGCCCATAGCATATTTTTATTTGCACCTTCAACTCTGCTGTCAGCTTCACACTCTTCAGCTCAACAACTTTAGCTCCGCAATCAGCTTATTTACTTATCAGTCCGCCCCAACAGAATGGACATGTCAACGTCAGTTTCAAAGCGAATTTAATATTCCTACGCTTTATAAGCCATATACTCGTAATCGCATTAAAGCCTCAGATTAATCAAATAATGGATGAAATCCCTTATTGTTTTAATCCACATTCACATGAAATTCGATTCGATTAAATTCAAATTCCATTTATGGAAAACAGCAGACGAGAGCTGCCTTCAATACTGATGCCATGGATGCACGAGGCCATCGACTTTATGTGCTGTTTTCTTCTGAATTTCCTTGCATGCCACTGCCGCTGACGCTGCCACTGCCCCCGCTTTTGTCCGACTTCGAAGGCTGTCATCTGCATTTTTCCCATTTCACACTTTGATGTCCTTTCTGCGGGCCCTCTTTCGATCTCTTTTATATTCTTTTCCGTTACTACCGCCGCATGCATTGTGAGAATGGAAATTTCGATCCCCTGTTGCCTGGTGTCTTCGATCCGTGTTTACGCTTCGAAGAACTAAATGTCAACAGTTTTCATAAATCTGCCATTGGACGACATCCTCAGTTCTTACTCTGCCGAGGGCCCGGCCCAACTCGGGGTCCCTGCTCCATCTCATGGGCCAGGCCTTCCACGAGGCCACGAGGCTTAAGTGCTCCAAGTGTGGGCTGTCAGTCGTTCTGTTCTCTCTTGGCCAAGATTGTTTGCTTTTTGTCCGTTTGCTGACTCTTTGACTCTCGCCGGTTGCTCAACTGTTTCTGACATTCTCTTAAAGATAAACAATTTCCCCAAATGGTTATTTGAATTAAATTGTCACTCCTCTCTGGCGCAATGTATCTTACTTGGACAGAATACCATGCAGTGCTTCCGCATACAACATTTGAGGAAAGTCAACTGTAGCGATGCATGCTGACAATGTTTCTCAATAAAACATTTAGACGAAGTTCAATTTTATAGCCGATTTGTTAATGGAGGATGGCACATTATAGAACTTGTCTTAAGCTGCAGATGACAGTTTTAACACGCACTGCATCCCCATTCAGAACTATCCCAGGCATATCGTTGGAAAACAAAGCTTGATTTTGTTTTGCATTCGTAGGAATTTTATGGCAATTACTTTCCATTAGCATTCCATTGTGATGCTAAGCACAACTTTCAACTTTCGCTGCTTTTGGCACAACATCACAACAGAAAGCAGCTAGATTGGCCAAGGCTCTGGCTCAGAGGTGGCAATACAATCATATTTTATGGCACGGCATTAACATGGCCAATGACAGAGCCATTGTGTTAGCTGCTACCAAAAGTGCCGTTGCTCCGAATCGAATTGGGGGAAACGAGTTCTCCGAGACAGTGGACTGTCCATAATAACCGATGATGATCTTCAATGCTGTCAGAGCAGGTTCACCCGAACCGGGTCGCACTGTGTTTTCACATTCCCAGAACACTGTCGATGCAAATTAGTTGTGGACTGACCCAAATTGGATGGCCATAAAATTGGTTGAGAGGTCCGAAATCGGTTTAGTCGTGGACAGAGCAGAGCCAACGCCTAAAATATGTATTTGCAAGCATGAGGCTGCCACTGCTGCTATTGCTAATCCAGTTATTGGCCCTCAGGGTCAGAGGTAAGCCTTTCCTAGCCTCTCCTGCCATTCCCTGGGAGTCCGACTAATAAGATTTGCTTGTCCATTCCAGGAACTGCTGCCAAACACTGGCGCCGTGCCCCAGCCCATGGGGTTTTCAATGTGGATCTCTATGCGTACAACAAGCCCAGGACGAACCTGGCAGGCCATCAGTCCCGATCTGGGTCTGACTCCGCCCATGGGTCAGCTACTGGAGCAACTGTCCCAGCACAGCCGTAGATCCGTTGCCCAGAGCACCCACTATAGAAACCTCGATAAAGCCGGAGAGCTTTATCCCCAGTTCACGCTGAATGGAATGCAGCCGGAGGAGAGGGAGCAGCACAAACAGCCGGACAGAACAATAGAATCCCGGGCCGTAAACAAGCAATTAACGCCGCTGCAAATGGATTCGAGTCTAAGCAGAGCGCACGCACATGAAAATTTATATTCGAGCGAGTTCCATGTGCAGAGTATAGGGGCCAAAGAAAATTGTGCAATTGAATACCCTGTCTGCCGGCGATGAACGGAAACCAGTCCGAGAACAAGTTATGGGCCAGGAACAGGAGGAACACCCACTGAAGGTAGAACTAGCACTGCCACAGCTGCCCGAGGAGGAAGAGGAAGAGGAGAAGCCGCACCACAATGGTGGTGCACTAGAGGCCAACAGAACCAAAGAAGGAGAAGAACAAACTGCCCCCAGCTCGACGACAACGGAAGCCTCGAGAGATGTGACAGCACCTGCAGGGCAATCCCTGGCAAGTGTAAAGAAAACACTGACAGAGCCGCCGAGCGAGACAATTATCGATATGGAATCGAATGGAATGCTGGAGATTGTCAGCCAGCTGACAGCGCAGAGTGCCGATGACATACACACAAAGGGTCATCTGGGCACCGAGCTGGTCCATCATTCCGGGAGAAACGAGACCGATGCTAAGCGCACCCGACTGAAGGCCAAGCGAAAGCACGCACACAAAGGAACAGGAACAAGAACAAAAGCATCTAATGAAATTGATACAAAGATGACAGCAAGCCCAGCAGTCACTCTTGCTCCAGCTTCAGCTTCTCCGATTGCAGCTCCGCAACAGCCCAGTACAAGCTCATCGATTGACAAGCAGCAGCCAGTGAAGGAATTGGAAACACAATCACCGGAAATCAGCACGCAAGGTCCTCCTGTGGGCACCAAGAGCAAAGGAAAAGGAAAAGGCAAGGGTAAGCGTCGACCGGGCTCCCAGCGACGTCCCTCGACCACTGGCATGCAGGAGGAAATTGAAACTACGACAAATTGGTGGCAGATACTCCCATATGCGGAAATTAGAACATTTTTGAATACGATTTATGATACCATCACCGACAACGATGACGATGAACGAGCCACGGGCGCTGCTTTTTACCCACGCGGTGGGTTTCGGGGCGGCTAGTGTTTGTGGCGGGTCCTGCAGGAGGTCGAATTGAATTTCCGCCGGGGCGTCCGCAGACACTTTGTGTTTAACTTTGTGCCCCGATCAACTTGCCAGTTAGTCTGCAATGGGATTTGATTACAGTTTGATGGCGACAACAATTTGCAATAAAACCGAATATGAAGATTGATGAAACTTTTATTGAATCTGTGTGCTTCCCATAGGCGTGCAAAATCTTGCGCATGCGTAGGTACTGAGAGACCTCGCTCAGAAAGGATCTTAGGAGCACAGACGACGAAGAAAGACCCGATAGCGATTGATAGGCAGCCGAAGTTGGGCTCTGTGCCCTTGGATCAAACTACAAATGAAAATCTGACAAATAATAATAGAAACCCGACACTTACATACATACCATGAACATATTATTATTCGTGGCGTCATCAATCATCAGAATCATAATAATGTGCATATAAATTTCATAGGCGATGAGAGATGACAACTTAATTAAATTCCCGCTGTTTAAAAAGCCATCTATAAATATTTAAATAAGAAAATATATAATGCGATAACCGTGACGGCTTACTTAACGCCAAATAAAGTTCTTACAGACAGCTTAATGGGCATTAGACGACCCCTGCCCCACACACCTGCCCCGCGCAGGTTAAAGTTGAAAGTGGTCGAGCAGCTTCCAGATTGGGCTAAACAGGTCACGCTGTGCTGGCCGTCAGGTAAAGCCTAAATTGAACCGACATTAATGAGCTGGGAATTTCGTTTATGGCTGCCGAATGGATTTCATTGGGCCAGAGCGCGCAGTAATTCTCTGGTCACTGATTTATTGGCCCTAATGAGAGATGATTATGTGAAATGATTAAAATATATCTTCTTGTTGTTCGGGTATTAATTCCAAATTTATTCTGAACTTGTGAACTCTTTTATTGAAAGTAAAGCCAAACAAATCGCTTTTTACTTAAGAAGCCGAAAGTTGGTCGTCGCCGGAGCTTTCTTTTCCTGCGCTTCTCCCGCCGCGGCTTGGGTTCAACTTGGGCCACAAGCAGCAGTGACGGCAGCGAAAATACCTCTTCTGTGGGCGTGGAAGCAGCAACAACATCTTTGGGCGCTTGGGTGGTGGTGCTGACCATAGACTCCCCGAAGGATAATGGAACACTAAAAGGGTGGCCCGAGTACAGCTGTAGCTGCCAGTCGCACAGCTCCGGAATGAGGCTGCACCTGAGGCTGGCGTTGTTCGCTATGAGCTGCACTTGCGTCAGATTCAGCTTCGGTATCTGCTGCAGTGTCCCTTCCAGGGACGCAGCCGTTGCCCAGTTGGAGCCTGCCACAAGCCAAAAGATTGGCAGCAGTGGCCACAGGGAAGCGGCTTGAACGGAGCACATTTAATTTCACCTACCAGTAGCTCATGGAGCTCGACTGCGACTGGCTGGGTCGGGGTGCGAGAGTCGCTGCCATGGAGATGGAGTGGGACCACTGAAACCAGTTTGGATGAATAGATCACAATTTGTGCTGGCATCTGCGACACGCTAAAAGAATTATGATTGACATTCCGATGGCCCGCAATTTGTGGGGTATAATGGACCATAAAATATACTCTCGAAGCCCTGGTTCACATTATTTATTCGTCAGATTCGGTTTTATTTACGGTTTGGTCTTTTGTTCACTGAGCAGTTTCCTGGGAAATCTCTCCCAGGAAGGCCTTCGAGTGCGCCTTGACCTAACTCTGAAGGTTTTACGTAAATCAAGCGGATACTCTTCTCCCGTGGCCGGGTATATCAGCAGCATGGGCTTGCCATGTCTATCGGTGAGACGCACGAACTGCGCCTTCTCCGGATTCCTGCACAGCCGGGCATAGTAAAAGCAAAGCGACGACACTAAATGGGCCTCTGATGTGATCGTTAGCTTCTGGAGCTCCTGCAGCTGCAGCTGATGAGCAGACCCAAATTCCTGGCTCTCACTCAGAACTGTTGGCATCCTATTATCACTGTCTTCCAGACTCCCAGATTGAATTTCTTGGCATATCGAAAGGCTCGGATATATTTCGCACAGGGAAGGCTCTAGAGGACTTATTCTTGTTGGTTCAGTTGGATTTGTTGTTGGAGCTGTTGTCGTTGTTGTTGTTTTTGGCAGTTTTGGCCACATATATGGTGGATAATAGTAATACGGTGGCGGTTCCTGAGGCATGAACTGTTCTTTCTTCTTTTCTTGTGTATCGTTTCCATTCACATATTGGAAAAATCGCGTTATAACGTGTCCTACTTTCCATACAGGAATTTGAGATGGAACCTCGTGTCCATTTGCCTCCAGTGCGAACCAATCGGATCCGGCAAACAGAAGCCAAAGAAACGCGCTCCCTAGCAGCAGCATGACCAAACTGATGCAGAACTGCGATTAGCCCCTTTATATATATTCATGGGCAAAGCCTAAAAGAGAAGCTAAATTTGCAAATCGAATTGCTAAAAAGAAAACAAAGAGAAATACCTAAACACTAAAAAAGTCAGCAGCTAATAGGTTAATCAGCGAACCCGTTTCCTAGTGGACCAGTGTTCCAGCTCTGCAAGAAATAACTCTGTAAATTATAGCACGATTATTGCCAAACATATTCATGGGGGTGTGTTGGCTTATGACAAAATTTGAATTTATGAGAATTCCTCTCTTTGATGCTTTCTTTAAAGACTTCTCCCCCTTTGGCTGTTGCACTGTCCTTTAATTGTGAATATATCTTCTCTTCTATCTCTAACCAAAAAACCGCCAGATATCTCCGACATTTCACCAATTCAAAGTCTTCTTTTGCATATAGAAATGGGTCCAGCTATAACCAGCCAATTAATCACTTTCCCCAGCAGCCAAATTCTCCTAAATTTAATCCCTGATCGAAGCAAAAACAAAAGAGCTAATAATTGATATATTTGTGAGCCTCTGCTAAGTGAATCGTTGTTGGAAATGTAAATTAATCTTGAATACCCTCATTCCAATCGACACAGCCATGACTCCCAAAATCGCTGATAATCCATAAATTTGATAACTAGTTGCCAAAGATATTGCATCCATTATTTTATAGATCCATCGATATATTGAAAAATAGGATTGTGACTCCCTCATGACAGTGTTAATTGATATATGTATCTATGTAATTATGATAGCTGACTCCTGCTCCTTTTAATTAGACGAAAAACATATTTCCTGTCATGCGGCCTCTGCCACTCTGGTCGTCGGGGAGGCCTCAAACTATGGACTTGTATTCCGCTGGCCCTTTTTGAGGCTTCCGTGGGTGCTGGAGGCAGTTTATCCCCACCTGGGAATATAAGAAGCATCGGCATCCCATGGCCATCGGTTAGACGGACATACTGCGCCTCCTCTGGCTGGGCACAGAGGCGTGGATAGTTGTAACACAGTGAGGTCATGGACTGGGGTGGGGACTGCACTGTTAACTTCTGTTCAGGTTGTAGATCGACATCCGATGCCGCCTGTCCATCCACACTGAGCACTGTCGGGGCTCGGAGTGCAGTGCTCTGGGAGGACGAAGATGCACTGCAGGTTGACAGATGTGGGAAAAAGGAGCAGATTGGATGAGTAGTCGATGATTCCGGCGATACAGTTGGTTTTCTACGTCGGGCTGATAATACACTTCCCGTTGTCGAAGTTTCTGTGGAGGATCCTGTTGTTGTAGATCCTGTTATTATTGGGATCGAACTTGTGGAGCTTGTTGTAGGAGCAATTGTTGTACTGGTACTGGTGGATGCCTCGGTCGTTGTTGAAGGTTTACTTGTCGTTGAAGTCGAGGGGGCTACAGTCGTTGATGTTGATGTCGAGGTGGAGGTTGATGTGGATGTTGGATGTTGAGGTTGATGTTGAGGTTGATGTTGAGGTTGATGTTTTTATAGTTGTTGTCGTTCTTCTTGGCCTTCTTGTTGTTGTGGTTCTTCTAGTAGGCCTTCGGGTTGGCCTTGGTCTTGGTCGATTCGGTCGAAGGGGTCTCAGTGGCCTCAGTGGTCGCAAAGGACGCTGAGGCAGCGGACGAGGAATCGGATCTACTGGTACCAGCTCATTTGTTGAATATAATCCAAGCTCCTGTTTCTTGTTGCGGTATTTCCTGAGCATCGCATTGTAATAATCATCCCACGAAGCAGGAGCTCCTGGAGTCTCCTGTGGCATCTTCGTGGTGCTTGGTGGACTGAAAGTGTTTGAAAGTCGAGAGTACAGGTCAGACATCTCCCAGAGAGGAATAAGCGATCTTAAAGTTCCGTCAGAATTTTCGCTCCATACTGGAGAACTGAGAGCCAAAAGCACAAGAAAAGCACGCATCTCGATGCCTAGATCCCAACTGAAACCAGAGCCAAATGGAAGAAATGCTTTTATAGACCCCTCTGCAAACTAACAATAATGCTGATGATGATGCCCTTGGGCCATCTACAACACAAGAGCTCTTAAGTTAACAAAATTGTCTAACTAACTAGGAGTCTGTATGATTATAGACAATACCGATTATTAGAATATCTCAATATATCTAAATTGTATTGTATGTATATTTAAAGATTCCAACATTAAGTGTGTTACTTGGTCACGGATGAGAAGCTGTTTGTCTACTGTGTCTTCTTATGGCACGCCACAATGTTGGATGATCCTTTGAGGATGGTTTTCCTTCGATGATGGGGGATATTAGCAAGAGCGGCTTTCCTGTCCCATCCGACAAGCGCACGAACTGCGCCTGCTCGGGCTTCAGACACAGACGGGGATAGTAAAAACAAAGCGAGGTCACAGAGTGAGGCTCCGATATGATGGACAACTGCTGATCCGGCTTCAACTCAGCGATACCCGATCCGATATTACCACTTTCCAAGTCAACAGTTTTTGCTCCTTGGCACACAGGAAGATGAGGAAACGTTGCGCAAAGGGAAGATTCAGTTGTTGTTTCTTCATCTTCTGCGGTGCTACTAGAACTAGGCAACGCTGTAGATGTTGTTGAGCTTCCAGATGTGGTCGAATCTATTGGCGGAATCGCTGTGGATGTTGTTGAGCTTTCAGATGTGGTCGAATCTATTGGTGGAACTGCTGTGGATGTTGTTGAGCTTCCAGATGTGGTCGAATCTATTGGCGGAATTGCTGTGGATGTTGTTGAGCTTCCAGATGTGCTCGAATCTATTGGCGGAATTGCTGTGGAGGTTGTTGAGCTTTCAGATGTGGTCGAATCTATTGGCGGAACTGCTGTGGATGTTGTTGAGCTTCCAGATGTGGTCGAATCTATTGGCGGAATTGCTGTGGATGTTGTTGAGCTTCCAGATGTGGTCGAATCTATTGGCGGAATTGCTGTGGATGTTGTTGAGCTTCCAGATGTGGTCGAATCTATTGGCGGAATTGCTGTGGATGTTGTTGAGCTTCCAGATGTGGTCGAATCTATTGGCGGAATTGCTGTGGAGGTTGTTGAGCTTCCAGATGTGGTCGAATCTATTGGCGGAACTGCTGTGGATGTTGTTGAGCTTCCAGATGTGGTCGAATCTATTGGCGGAATTGCTGTGGATGTTGTTGAGCTTCCAGATGTGCTCGAATCGATTGGCGGAATTGCTGTGGAGGTTGTTGAGCTTCCAGATGTGGTCGAATCTATTGGTGGAACTGCTGTGGATGTTGTTGAGCTTCCAGATGTGGTCGAATCTATTGGCGGAATTGCTGTGGATGTTGTTGAGCTTCCAGATGTGCTCGAATCTATTGGGGAATTGCGGTGGAGGTTGTCGAGCTTTCAGATGTGGTCGAATCTATTGGCGGAATTGCTGTGGATGTTGTTGAGCTTAGATGTGGTCGAATCTATTGGGGAATTGCTGTGGAGTTGTTGAGCTTCCAGATGTGGTCGAACTATTGGGGATGTGTGGAGTTGTTGGCTTCCAGATGTGGTCGAATTATTGGCGGAATTGCTGTGGATGTTGTTGAGCTTCCAGATGTGCCGAATCGATTGGCGGAATTGCTGTGGATGTTGTTGAGCTTCCAGATGTGGTCGAATCTATTGGCGGAACTGCTGTGGATGTTGTTGAGCTTCCAGATGTGGTCGAATCTATTGGCGGAATTGCTGTGGATGTTGTTGAGCTTCCAGATGTGCTCGAATCTATTGGCGGAATTGCTGTGGAGGTTGTTGAGCTTCCAGATGTGGTCGAATCTATTGGCGGAATTGCTGTGGAAGTTGTTGAGCTTCCAGATGTGGTCGAATCTATTGGCGGAATTGCTGTGGAAGTTGTTGAGCTTCCAGATGTGGTCGAATCTATTGGCGGAATTGCTGTGGAGGTTGTTGAGCTTCCAGATGTGGTCGAATCTATTGGCGGAATTGCTGTGGATGTTGTCGAAACTTCAGTTGTGGTCGATATTTGGCACACTGGGAGATGAGGAAATACTGCACAAAGCGACTCCGTTGTGGTTGATTGTGGTGTTGCGGTGGTTGAAATCGTAGCAGGAGCTTCGGTGGTGGTTGCGTAATCAGGAAAGAATTGTCCAAAGTCTCCGTATGGCCCATACTGCGCTTGATTCTGGTAAAAGTTCTCCCAGTAGTTGCTATAATAGTCGCTCAGATATTGGTTGTATTCGTTCGCCTGGTTGTTCTCATTGCTTGACCCTGCGGCAGAGGTTGATCCAGAATTTGTTGAGGTTGATCCCGTACCCGTAAGACGAGAGAACACATCCGCAACATTCCACACGGGAATCCGTATGCTCAACGACTGGCCCCACGCCTGGCCAGAGAGTAAAAACAGCAAACCGACAGTATTGAATATCATTCCAAGACACAGATTGTTCAGCGCTCCGGCTAGCCTAGAACTGAAGAGGTAACGACAAGATACCTAGAGCTTTATACAGCCCACTGACGTCGTTAAAATAGAATATCGCTCCATCAGAACAAAAGAGTGGAACGCGCCTATTCTTAATCAACACTCATAAACTTCGAATGTTTATGGATGGGGTAGGGGGACTATTCAAAGTCTAAACAGGAAAGCAAGCACACGTGCAAGGGTCTTAGAAAGTCAGAACGGCAGGCAATAACATTTTATGTCGAATGTTTCTTTATTTTTTATTCAATAAGTCAATCGTTTCGAAAGCACAGTAAACATAAGTCACCTCTCTATTTCTTACCCTCCAGCTCAAAGTAAGGACTTGGCCGCGATCGGCGGTGCAGAACGGAGTCGTATGGGATATAGACTGCCGATTCGTGTGCTGTCGATGCTGCTGAGGCTGAGGCTGCACCGTGCACATTGTTTTGGTAGGCGTTAATGCGGTATAGATCGTAGGGACTCAGGAGAGTGCCTGGCACGTAGTGGAAAGGTAGGGGAGTGGTGCGGAACCTTTTCGGTCCAACTGCGTCCGATGTCATGTCCGTGTCTACAGATGGAAGAGCCGTCGAAGTTGTGCCCGGGTCGACAGTGGGAACTGGAGTGGGAGTTGTACGCTGAGTTGTAGCCGGGTCCACAGTGGATGCAACTGCGGTGGAAGTTGTGATCGGTGTCGAAGTGGGTATAACTGCGGTTGAAGTTGTGATCGGTGTCGAAGTGGGTATAACAGCGGTGGAAGTTGTGATCGGTGTCGAAGTGGGTATAACTGCGGTGGACGTTGTGATTGGTGCTGATGTTGGTGGTCCTGTTGGTCTTCCTCCATAGGGACCATATGGTCCATAGGGACCGTAGAGTTGATTGAACGCCTGGTTCTGGTAGAAGTTCTGCCAGTAATTGCTGTAGTATTCACTCAGGTATGCATCGTATTCGGCCTGAGCGTCGTCGCTGCTGCTGCTGCTGCTGCCAGATGAACCTGAACTTGTGCCAGAATTAGAGCTGCCTCCCGTCCCAGTAAGAGCGGAGAATATGTTATTCAGGTTGTATATGGGGACTCCAAAACTGAATGACTGGCCATAGACTTGACCAGCCAACAGGAAGAGCAGACACACAGTCTTGATGATCATTTCGATTCGAGAGGGATTCTACGGCGCTCCGGTTTGTTCAGAACTAATGTGCCAGTGGCCAGACACGAAGAGTTTTATACAGTTTTTCAGGGTGTCGTAAATTTGAATTGTGCTTGCGACCAACAAAAGATCAAACTTCAGATTGGACTGAAAGAGGTATGCTGGACTGGGAACGAGATCCATTTCAGTGATTTGAATATTTATCGTCTTGATGGGCGAAATTCCAGAAGAGAAGTAACACGACCAGCGCATATCTTAGTAGACTGATGACCCGGGATGAGCCCTTCTATTACAAAACATCTCTAATTTGCCAATCATCTTTAATTTATGAATAAATTATCTTTATTGGTTGGATCTCAGCCCCCTCGGTAGTAATACGAGGTGTAGGGTCGATAGTAGAGGTAGGGCTGTGGCTGTGGCTGGCGCTGTGGATGGGGACGGGGACGAGCCATTGCTGGACGCCGTGTGGTCTGCTGGAGAATCTTATTCACCGGCTTTTGCTCTCCGTCCAGTTCGTACTTGATGCGGGAACCATTCTTGAAGTCTATGTAGTCAATGTTCTCATCGCTCTCCGCCTCGTTGGCATCTTTTTCAATCGCCGGCAGTCGAGTGGTGCTCGTGCTGGTGATGCTGGCTTGGGAGAGAAAGTCTGCTAGCAGAGCGGGGGAAACGGTGGGTCCGCCAGCACCGCCGGCCGACTGCTGAAGGCCCTGCAGAATTCCCTGCAGAAACTGCTCGCGTATCAGATTGTTCTGCGTGCTCGGCACTTCGTCGGCCAGAGGCGAGGCTTGGGTGTTGGGGCTGCTGAGGGGCGTCTCGTCTTGAGGCCTCCTAATGGGGATCCCGGGCAGTGCACCACCACCGAGCTGTTGCAGGGCCGCCGGATAGGCCAGCAAGTAGAGTAAAGGCCCAGCTGTGCGGGACTGTTCCGCCTCCAAGCGGCTGGCCCACGCCTGACCTGTCCGCAGACAGCTGCAGGCCAGCAGACCCAGCAGATACTCGATTAGATTCATATCGAAACGCGTTCAGCGACCAACTAAGTCTGCCGGGCCATGGGGTTTGCATATTTAGCAAATGTCTCCAATCAGCGATACGCAAATGCTAATTTCGGTTCATTAATAAGTGCGTCAGTGGTGAAATCGATTAAGTCTCTCTCTTCAGTTTCTTTCCTTTCACACTTTTGTTTACTTATTTAATTAACTTAACAAGTATACGTATACGAGAGAGAGAGAGAGAGAGAGAGAGAAAGAAGGAGAGAGTGAGATCGGTCTCACTTGAATGATAATCAAAAATAAAGCAAACAAAAAAAAAAAAATAAAGAGCGATAAGTGCCTCCCACAGAGGCTGTTTTGCATATATTTCTCTCCATCTAGTTTTTGTAGCTATTTTGTATATGTATATCTATCTGTCCCAGAGCTTTCCCAGTTAACTCTAAACTCGAATGTTAACGCACATAAATCATTTATTTCATATTCAGATATTAGTGGTAGTCAAATATTAGTTGAAACTTTCAGCCAGAATAACTGGAGCCGATCTGAAATGTAGATTGATTCAACATATTCTTATGATATATCTTGTCAAAATTTGCAGCCGCTTACCTCCCAGTCATCCTCATAGAAGGGCATTCTTAGGGTATCGGCGTTCATCAGCACGGCCTGACCGTATTTAAGGTTCCTCATCAAAATGCGACGCTGCTGATGCCGCCTTCCGGTAGTCGCCACCCGCCTCCGAGGCAGCAACACTTGCGTAGGATTCCGGTCTTCCCAGTAGCTCTGATCGCCTAGATCGCCTAGGTTCCGACCTCCGAGGTTTACCACTTGGAAATTGGGCTGGGCTGGGCTGGGTCGGAAGAACCAGTTCCTTAGCAGCGTGCGCAGCGGTGTGTTTTCTTCGCTCGGAGTGGGTGTCGTGTTTAGCTGAAAGCTGCCGTTCCCCAACGAACTGATCAGCTGGACGTTCTCGGTGGTTCTCTTTGCTGTGATGTTAAGGTTATTCAACATCTCATACAGCCAGGGATAAGGACGGACTTGCTCGGTCGAGTCAAAGACCTGTACTTGGCCCCCGTATGGGCTTATTATCTGAACGTTGCCATTCCCGGGTATCCTTGAGATTTGATAGATTTGTCCAGGAATCGTATTGACTTGGAGCAGCAGAATGAGACAAAGTGATGCGGCCAACATGTTGAGAACTACTCCTACAGTGCCAGAGTTCAAGTCCCAACTAATCGTAGACTAGCCGGCAGCTTGAACTTTTATATAGTCAGAACTCTACGACTTATCTGTGCTGTAATTAATGGATCAGTGTTTCAGTCAAAGATACCATCCATACCATCCACTTCGAGTATTTATAAATGGGTGTCGGCCTCTGGGTGACTTGTCAGTGTCTAAAAGTGGACTCTCGGCATTAGTTTGTTTTTGAAGTGTACCTGTACATACATACATACCTATATATTGTATGGGCAGTTGCATATTTGTACTTGGTAAAGTCCAATGACTATATATAACTATCGATTCCACGGAACTTACTTCACATTCTTTTTTTCCATTCGGCTCTCCTGGACTTTGCCTTCTGTTCTGTAATAGTACTGATGCCAAGAACTGCTTTGTTTCTGTCACTATCGCTCCTGTTTTCACATGAATTCGCATGATCGATCATGACAAATTCACGTCTCAATTCCCATACAAATTTAATACGAAACATTGATCGTTTCATCTGCATCTTCGTTGAGGAGTGGAAACCAGATAGGCAGTTCAGCTTTCGGGCCATAAAAAAAATGCAAAAATCCACAAAAACTTAACCGTTAGTTTTGGACTAATCGCCAACGCTGGTCTGAGCAAATAAAGCCGCAGCTACGAATATATTGTGGGGCGTGTTCTGTGCTGATTTTAAAAGCGGAATTAATTTGCATGCAAACTTGGGGGGCACGGTGATGGGACAGTTTCTGTATGTGGTCTTTTGAAAATGCTCTCGAATTGGGTTAATGTGTTCAGTTGAACAATGCGAATGTTACTGTGTCTGGAAGATAACTCAGTGGTGGCGCTGGACGGATTCTTTGGCTGATGGGTTGGTCAGGTATAAATAGCTCATGGGATGGGATCTATCAATCAGTTCGCAGCGAACATTTCACACCATGCGCACCAAGTTGGCTCTGTGCCTATGCCTGGCGCTCTGCGGAGCCCTGGCCCTGGCCCACGTCCAGGACGAGCCTGTCGTCGAGAAGAAGGAGAACAGCGCGGAGGTGAACAGCATCGAGGAGAACGTCGCTGGGCCTGATCCGTCCCTGTGGAGGAAGCTGTTCAGCACCGGCGACAGCAGCGGCAACCTGGTGTTCACCTTCCCGGGCACCACCACGTCCACTAAGAAGCCCAAGACAACGACAACGACAAGGAAGCCGCACGATTCATATCCCCCCAAGTATCCTCATCACCAGTACCCTCCGTACTATCCACCGTACTATCCACCACCGCCGTATCATGGCTACCCCTATCCCGGCTGGGGGCATGGCGGCCACGATTCTGGCAGCTCCGGCGGTCATAGTCCTGGCGGCAGCGGCGGTCAAGGTTCTGGCGGCAGCGGCGGTCATGGTTCTGGCGGCAGCGGCGGCAGCGGCGGTCAAGGTTCTGGCGGCAGCGGCGGTCATGGTTCTGGCGGCAGCGGCGGTCATGGCTCTGGCGGAAGTGGCGGTCATGGCTCTGGCGGAAGTGGCGGTCCTCATCATTCCACCCCGCCTGACAATCATTATCCGCATTATCCTTATCCACACTATCCACCACCACAATACTATCCCCCTTACCCATACTACCCACCCCCACCACCACCACCACCGCGTCCACCACCAAGCAAAGACTCTGACGAGAGCACCGAAGCCCCTCCGAATATTTGCAAGCCGACGCCCTTCGGCTTGCTATGCGTAACGCCCTAAGCGCCCAACACTCTTCCGGAACATTCCCTGCGGAATGACAGATGAAAAAAAAACGAGTAGTTAATTCCATATTTATTTCTAATTTATTAAATGAATAAAAAATTGGCACATAATCCTCACAGTATTTGATTCCTTAATCGAAACGATTTTTTCAGCATATTATTTGTATTTTTTTTTTGCATTTTCGAATCGCATTTAATTTGGATTGCAGTACTGGCCTAGAGCGCTTCGATTTTAAATTTCAATAAAATGTTTCTCAGCCCAAAAACCGAATAAAATTGATTGGAGATCTGCCGCCGCTTTTGACATTTGATGTCGCCATGGGGCGTTCTGAAAATTCATCTCTAATTGACATTGACAGCATCATTAACATGATTGTCAGAACCAGACTCGCGAGTGAAGGGCAAAGGAAAATGTAACCGAATTTAAGCTTTTGTGCTCGCTTGTGATTAACATTTCAAATCAGTTGGAGACGCACGTTAAATGTTCACATTTATGATTATTCTTGAATGACAAAGGCATGTTTTGGCAGGCCAGGATGCAGGTGGCGACAGCAGGCATGTCTCATTATAAGGATATTATAAGTTCGTACAATAGTTGATGTCTGTACGCCTATTTATCGGACTCTTTTTGTGTGCCAGACATTCTGGCGACACTAATTAAATGCCCGCCCACCATTAGTAAATCAAAACAATTCCAAAGCAAGACAAACAACAGTCCAAGGATGCAGATACAGATACTTGTACAAGGGACGGACGAGACAGGACCAGTTAACTGTTTCCCTCTGCCCTAAGGAGTCAGCTCGGAGTGCTGTGTGCGTGTTCCGAAAATCGTAAATTCTGGATGTTGTTAAAAAACTTTTGGCAGAGGCATACATAAATCTGCGGCCAGCGGACAACAACAGCGAACAGAAGCAGTGCTGAGAAGTCAGTTCACTAACGAGCCAAAATCGTTGACTGGAAATCCTTGAGCAGCAATAATGCCTATAAATATGCTAGGGAATTGTCTGTGCCCCTTTGTGGGATTCAATTGAGTCGGAGGCAAAACTTTTACCCAACCAGCATCGGTGGAGGTCAGCATCGTAATTTGTTTGTGCCGAATATGTGGGTGGGTTCGGAGTTCGGTGGTCGGTGGTCTGTGTAGGGTTCTTCAAAGCCAAGCGAGGCTCACAATTACCACTGTTTGTGCGCGCTCGAGGCGATGCTGGATCTGGCAAATCGATGAAGAAATATTTTGGTATTGCCTCGGCAACTCTCCGGCTGATTATTTAAACAAAGAAGGTAATTACGCATTGCCATCGGGGGCACGGCACGGGGCAATTACACGCAGATTACCACGTAATTTATGAATTATGCAAAGGCCAAATAAAATACTATAAAACAGGACCCCAGACCAGGTCCCTCCCATAAATATGCCAACCGGCTTAGCCGGCTGCCCATAAACTATATATTACGAGTATATTCTGTTCAAATGTAAATACGAGCATCCATGCTCCATGCTGCTTCTGCCACAGCCAGCCTCTACACTCCAGAAGTGCTCCCGTTTTGGACTGCGAGCCACTCCCATTCCCGAGCCTGGCAACCGTCGCGTCGCTTTGCAGCGGCGGAAGTACTTGGAGCGGCGGAAATACAAATGAAGTTAGTCATATCAGTGGAACTTACTTAGCAAACATTTTTATGGTATTTCGCATTGTTAGTAGAACTTTTTGGCTTTGTCTAAACAACAACAAACGTTGGCTTGATGCGTCCTTTTTATGTGCTTGGGAACACAGTTATTAAAAATTTGATCTTCCAGAAAGCCCACAAAAGAACATACATTAAATTGGAATTCCCCTTAAAACTGTTTCGGCATTTCCACCGATTCGCGGGAAAAAAGAAAATCTGCAAAATCAGCAATAGGAAAAAAAATGTACACTTGATTCGTTTGTGTTTTTGTTAAAGCAATTTGTTCGGCAATTTTTGACTTTTTTTCTTATATTTTCGTGTATGGGTTTTAAATATAATTTGCACTCAACAAATAAATCGTCTGACTCTCCTTCAGTCGATCCTCGTCGCTTACCCGTCTCCATTTAGCCATTGTTCACGACAATGGACGTCTGCGTATGGCTTTTCACATTAATTGTGTGAAATTATTTTGAAAAAGTGTTCGCCCTTACCCACGCTTTCTTCTCTTTTTGTTTGTTAACGATTCGCTTAGCACAAGAGCACATTTTTATTTGAATGGCAAGCAGCCTTTTAATGTCGATTTGTATTGTGCGTGTTATGGTAGACACAAATTGCCTAGACAAATGAGATAAAAAGAAAAAGAAAACCATTTATTACTATATAATAAATATATATATTATGTACTGATGTTTATATTAAATGAATTTATTTTGATGAAAAGGCTCTTTGAGCTCGTCTTTAATACAAAATCTATTTGTTGGCCCTTGAAGTTTTAATTATTGTATGAGAAAAGCTCATAATAGGTGAACTTTAATTAACTTCCCCGAAGTTCCCGAAGTGCCCTGTGCCCGTTTAAGTGTATTTACGTCAAAAGTGATTTTAATGAGTTTTTGATATTCCTTCGTCCATGTGAACCATCCCCAGTCGCTTGGATCCTTCCTGTTGCTGTCAATTCGCAAATGGCTTCGGAAATGTCAGGCTTGGACAGAGTTTGCTGTCGAAAGATAAACAGAGACACAGAAATATGTATGGCCGTGGCAGTTGCTGTCAAAGTAATCAGAGTGTGGTCGGACAAATCAAAGCATCCTGAATAAATACAGCATCGAGTGTAGCTGTGAGAAAGCACGTACATATATATGTACATATGTGCTCTACTTTAAAAGGTGATTTCAGGTCCTGGCCATTTACCCGTTGCTCCTATTAGGTCTCCCCCTCCATGGGCAGCGTTTAGCGAAGACAAGCGAAAAGTTTAGGGAACACAGCGACTTGGGTTTTATTTTCGCTCAGGGCCCCAAGGCGTCATCAACGAAAACAAAAGTCGTCTACGGCGGAGGCGCCAAAGCGTAAGACACACACACATACACACATGCAGCATAGCACCCTCAAACACAGAGCAAGACCTTCAAGGTCCTTGCCACCTCGCTGCTGTTCCTTTCTTTTTTTTTAATTTCTTTAAGAGCTAAGCAGAAATGGCGAAATAAGCATAATTCCAGGCGCCATAAAAACAAAAGCACAAGGAACCGCACGAACAAAATAAATTCACACAATTTGAAAAACGCAAACACTCAACACGCTGCCAGCCACGGCCCTGGGCCAGACTCCATCTGCTGCTGCTGCTGCCGATGCCGATGCTGCTCCTGCCCTTCATGCAGCTGTTTAATGGCTTCTCCACTCCCTCTATGGACGTGGGTGGTGGTTGAAGGGCCCTGCCCTCGCTTTTCCAGTGGCCCGCATGAGAATGAATTAAAAAAATGTTTACGACTCGACCGCTTGATTTTCAGCACATTGGTAAAATGGCCCCACCAAAGAAGAGCTGAAAGAGGGCCATAACCAAAAGAATGTGCCGGAGCACACCTTCCCATTCCACGTGCTGCGGCTGTATCCGAACCAGAACAAAAACCCCGAACCGAACCAAGTGTGTAAGTGTTTGTGGTGACGGTTTTTTGGGTTCGCTTGCATCCTTCCCTGGAGATGCGGCCAGTGACCAGCCACGGGGAAACTTTATTGAATTTACTACATACACAGGTAATAGTCAATGTCCACCTGAAAAAGTGATTACGGTCATTAGAGCTATCTGTACTTAACAAAAAAAAAACCGCAATACCTATCATTAGATACAGTTTTCTGCTTCGAACTAATATGTAATTGTTAGAAAATATATCTTAACGATTTCAATCGATATGTACTGATTTATATTCTTCTTTTGGTGGTTCAAGAATATTTTCAACATCCGTAATTCCCAAGAGGTGCTCAAACGACTCAGCCATTTCTTTTGTTTCATGTTTATCTCTCAATTTGTGAGATTTCAAGAAAATTCAGGGAAACAAACGGAGCCAAGTGCTTGGGCAACCGTCAGTCAGCTCGGACTCACTTTTATATCTTTTACGCTTTTCCTTTTGCCTTTTCAGTGGGCCCTAAAGTTTTAATTATTTCATGGCACACTTGAGGGCCCTCCTCCTGACCACTCAATGGTCAGCATGTGCGGTAAATGAGGCTAGCATTCGGAGCTAAGAAAACAATTCAATAATTGGCAATCAGAGGGAGAGATAGTAGGTGGTGGGGGGCGCTTCAGTCAGAGAGAGCCAAGGAATAAGCCTGAAAATTAATATCGAGTAACTTCGATGGCTGCCACGCGAACTCGATAAACAACCTAATTACTTTCTTCTGCCGCAGCCCCTGCCACTGCCACTGCCATAGCCACTACCACCGTTCCATTCCACTGCTACTGCTCTTTGGCCAGAGCATAATTAGCGGTCAGACGAACTGCGGCCCTGCAAATGAATAAATTGTTACAGCGACTATTGCGGAGGCAGTGCTGTAGGTGCAGATACACAGCGAAAGTACCCGCAACCAATTAACGGTCACATAAGCTGACCCCTGTCCACCGAATAGCTGCCGCGTCCTGTTGCAATTGCAGTTTAATTGATCAGCAATGACTGCCACAACGGCGGCTGCCAGGGACAGAAACGATTGGGACATGGAACCTGGGTGGTGTGCCCAACGAAATGAGACAAAATGAGACAAAATGTTCGAAGGCATAAGCACCTCAATAAATTCCATGTGCCGGCAGTGGCGGTGGGCGCCACCGCCTACCACATCTGACAAATTATTAGCGACTTTTTGAGTGGAGCAGCGTGTGGCTGTGACTGTGGCTTGAATTTATGCGTCAGACCCCGCCAGCCATATTACAGGTGAGAATGGGAAGTGTGCGGAGCACTCTTCAGCGTTCAGTCTATTAAATCAGTTGGGAAAAAGAACTGAACGAATTATTTATGGCCCGCATTTAGGCAGTGATAAAATATGATATATGCTCAAGAATCTGCCAAGATCTCTGGT